CCCATATCCTTGAGATTATTGGCAATGTCCGCATAATACTGACAATGCTCCCATGAATTCTACAATGCCACCATGAGATTAATGATGTTCCATGAGATTGACGATGAGACTGACAATGTCCCCATGAGATTATCAATTTTCTCTTAAGAAGAACGTCTTTCTTGAGGGTGACAATGTCCCACAGAGACTGAGATGGTCCTGTTAATGAGAATAACATTTTGACCGGAAAAGACAACTGCAGTTTTTGAGACGCCTGAATAGACATAAAGGTCTTGACACCTAGCTGAGTAGCTTTTACTGGCAAAAGAAAGCAAATGAGGCAGGGGTAGGCCCAGAGCAGTGTACTTTGAGAACCTAAACAGATAGGTAACAGGGAAAGATCAGGGTAACATAGTTTTTTTCAGAGCTCCCAAGAAAAGGAATGAATGGAGAACCATGACTGCCTATGTCTGCCGCAGATCTGGCACTTGATGATGATGATGAGGAACATTTTGACTTCATGGCTTAGTAAAGCTCTGATCGCTTATCACAGTCCATTTCTTTGCGGGCTTTCCAGTGACCTTGAAATCAACGATGTCGTTTTGAGACAGAAACTGTCTTATGGAGCACAGAACACTTGAAAAGCATGTGACATTTTACAATTGAATTGTCAGACCCTAAGAACAGTCCTTTTGTATTGCATGATGTCTTTTCCAGACACATGTTGCCTCCTTGCAATCATTCATATGTCAAACTAAGCACTGTATTATTAGCTAAGCACCGTCACCGTAGGAAAGGTACTGTTTGCTCCATTTTTACTCATTTTAATTTCGTGCGCATGCGAGGTACAATACCACATAATATGCCTTAGGAACTTTGGAAGGTTTTTTACGTCTTTCTCCAATTGTAGACTCTCTAAATTATTGCTCATCTGAATTCTGTCTTTTTTTCTCTGTGGTAGAATATTTAGCACTAAGCTTCTGGCTGTATGATCTGAGAGACATACACACATATGTCATCTGTTGCGGGCTCTAAGCTCAGTGTTTCAGCCCCAGTTACACACAATGATAAATTGTATCAGATTCGGCGTATGAGAGAACTGTCCATTTTATCTAACTGTTGTTTGTTTACACCTTCCAATCTATCATTAAGTCTTCTTCCGATTGCGACGACAGCGATTTGCTTGCTCTCTATGTGAAGTTTTCGAGCTCTGGACCTAACGAATGAAAGGCAAACACTGTACCTCTAGATCACGAGAACCCCCCCCCCTTTCCCCTGTACATTTTGATTAGCAGAACAGTGTCTTTAGAAAAGGGTCACCATACTGTGGACTGTAGGCCTACCGTGTTGCGTGTAGAACCGGAAGCTATGACTTGACTGCACATGTGCAACGCACCGAGTGACCTTGATGCACAGCTTCACCCTTGACGATCAAGTAAATAATAAAATTGCTAAAATATATATATAATAATGCACCAAATCAGGTTCACAGCGAGCGCCTTAGCTTATTTTGAGACGCTGATTCCGAATGCGAAATCGGTTTTTACCTCTGATAAGTATTTAAAAAATTTTGAGGCGTGAGTTTAGTTCTGTGCAGCAGCAAACTTCAAAGTGAATCTACATCACAGCGTGTCTTCCCCAAATCTGACCCTGGTCGCACGAAAAATATCAAGCAGCACTTGATTTCTCAAACGAGGCTCCAAACCATCGTTCAGTCGTCCAAATTTTGTGGTTACACCTAACAATTTATCGTAAGATCGCTAGATAGTCCAGTTTTTGTACAATTTATCGTTACGTGTAACCGGGCCTTTAGGCATGCATCTTGTATTTATGTGTTAGCACTCTATATCTTAGTGACAGCTGATTGTTTACTGAATGTCTTGTTCAATGTCGTTTCTTCCACTCTTTGACGAGAATGCCCACCGTTTTTTCTTTCCTTATTTGAACATACTCCTCTCGGGCCAAAACTTGACACCCTTCATGCTCCTGTTCTAACTTCTCATCGTGAGTGTATTAATGGGATCATGCCTGCCTATATAATACCACTGCCTTTTGTTTGGCCTTTTTAAATTACATTCATGTCTGACCCTTGCATTTTGACCTTGCCCTTCATTCTTTTCATTTTCTTCATTTTTTGCAGATGTTTGACCTTGGCCTAGTTTTGTTATGACCGTGACCTGTGACCTCTGCATGAGATATGATGCATGACCTTTTGCCTGTGGAGCAGTCAAGAAATTTTTTTTTAAACCACCGGGATGAGAAGAACCAGCTATTTTTGATTGGTTGATTGACTGTTCTTCTGCATTGTGCATTACTCAATGACTCTTGCATTTGTTCTTTTTATATATGACTGTTATTTCCTATTTCTATTTGCTTTTTATTTGTTTTCCATATGTTTAAATATGATCATCAATGTCTTTATCATATTTTGGGTTCTTTTGATTTGAGATTTCCAAGTCAGTCTTGCCTTTAAATGTGATGTCACTGTCAGACAGTGTGTTGTTGAGAGCCAAAAGGTTCTGTCTCTGATGTTTTGCTGGTGGAATCTTTTGTCTCTTGAGTGAGCGCGGGAGTTGTGTAATTGTCCCTTTGTGTGTTTATTTTTGCTTGTACCATCAGGTTCTGTGTGCGCTGGTATCGCTCTGCCGTCAATCGAGAAATAATTTTGTTGCTGTTTGTCACTATTCTATTCAATTTCAGCCTGTTGCTGTGCGTCCTTCATTGTTATCGTCTTCATCATCATCATCATCATGATCATCATCATCATCGTCATTGTCATTGTCATCACCACCATGCTTGCACAAAGATTGTACACTTGCTGATAGTGCCTCTTTCTTTCCTGTAAGATACTTCTTTTTCCTCACTTGTGGAAACCTCATTTATGCTCTTGTTAGTGTCTGTCTGTCTGTCTGTCTGTCTGTCCTGTAGTCCTTCCTTTTCTCTGCCTCTTTTTTTTCAATGTGCATTTCTTCCCCCCCC